GGGGCCGCTGCTGCCTCGCGGCTGCGGTGGGCGCCTTGCGGTTGTACGCGGGGAAACAAAAGAAGGCAAGAAATGTCTAAATTTAAAGTGCTGGAAAATCCAACCTTTTATTTACTACATTTTTGTGACTACATAAACGCTGAAACATTGTAACACTGAAAAGCATGATGACATCATCACTTGCTTTTTTCTTTTTTTTTCTTTTTTTCTTTTTTTTGCTTAGCAAACACAGCAGATGATATTGCACGGCATAAAGTGAGAACAGTAGCAAAGCTTAAAAAAAAAAGTAACTTAAATCTTAACGCAGTACAGGAGATACTCATAAACAAACCAGAATAATGCCTAGTGCATTACACTTGTCGCTACACACAAAAATACAGAAGAAGAAGAAGCGCTTGACTAAGAGAGAGATCGAGGAAATATTAGCAATCGACTGTAATTAGGTACAATAATCACTTAGTCTGAAATGCAGATGCAACGCATAAACTACCACTGCTTTCTAATGGGCAAACTAAAAACGACAGCAATGTTGTCTTTTAGCAAAATCTTCTCTTTGTTTTCAGATTTTTATTTTCATTGCTCTGGAAGAACTCCCTCTTGCTCTTGGAAGATTTCCTACCTCTACTGATCTTAGACCTGATGATTGTCTTTGACGCCCTCTTTATGTGACGAACACTCAAGCTAACTTGAAAATGGAAACTGCCTTGCGCTGAAAACGGAGCAAAGTCCTATGTGTAGGGAGGGTGAGAAAGCAGAGAGAGGAGGGCTGGGGCGAGGAGAGGTTACTAAAATGACCTCGGCCATGTGGGGCCCTCCTGGTTAATAAAGGCTCTTCGTTTAGCTTGGACTGGACAGTAGACACAAGGGTTACGAAGACAACTACCAAAGCAAGTAAAAGACAATGCTTTAAAGTTTATTTTCATTTAATACTGTTGTTTGGTTCATACCGCCAAACTAAAATGATTCCACAATGATTATGCAATAAATGCAGAACATATCATGAAAAATCAAACTACTAAAACAGCAACAGAAAACATTTTTCCTAAATACAGTTCTGTCCAGTGTTTAATAGCTAATGCTGGATTAATAGACTAATACTTTGACTCCCCCCTTCATGTGAAACATAACTCATTGCACGGCATCAGTTTATGTATTAAAAGCAGACACTTAGCCAATGCTTACCAACAGACCATTTAATGATCCTGTATTTCAGAGCATCTTTATTGCCCCATTTCAATACTTGAAGTATAAAAACGTATCTAGAAAGTGTAACTCTGACCAAAAGCTCCAACCCTGCCCTTGTCCTTCCCTCCCTCAACCCTTCCCATATCCCCCCAAACGAAAACAATGTACACCTTGAGCTTAACTACTGTGCATGAAAAGAATATTTACATCTGTCACAAACCATGTCAGTACACAACAGTCAGCTGAAACAGAACCTATTATTTACGCAAAACAAAACACAGGTGAGTGGCATCCTATCGTCTGTGCCATGATGCCAGCATCAGCTTTGCAGAATTATCATTGTCATTACCTTTTTTAAGTCAAAACTGCTTCTTCGCCCTTGAAGTGGTACGCAGCGATGTGAAGGGCGAGAGGACCGACGCAGCATCCAAAGTTTTCACGCCCACTACTTGCTCTACCCGTGCGAATGGCAAATAAGAAAACGAAAACTCAGCAAAGTCTCTCACAAATGCCAGTGCTTTTTAAACATTAAACAACTTTTAAATTCTTTGGAAGTGCAGGTCTTACCCGCAAAGTAACCTTTCTAGAAAAAGACAAATAAATTAAAGGAAAAACACACTCATAATGCCTTCCTGCTTTCTAAGTGACAAAAGCACTACCTTGAAACACTCATTTTGGCATGTACAGGTTTTGGGGGGGAGGGAGGCCCGGGGGGAGATAACCTGGCAGTGTTTGTAACACACATTGAAGTGCATGCTAAGACAAGTCTGAAGATACACCCTGCAGTCAAGAGAAGCACTCTCCTTCAGTTCATCTCAGCATAAAGAATGAAAAGATTGTAACATAAAGCTTTGGCCATTTTTGAATCTACTATATACAATTTTTTTTTTAACTACACAGTCATAAATTAAAGCACTGATTAAATAAGCGTATACAAAATGTAATTAAATTAAAAATCACAGCACATTATAGAGAAAAAATAGGAACCATTTATCACAGCAGAGAATATTTTTTTTTACCCTGTGAAAAGAACATTGGCTAGCAAACACAAAGCGTCCTAACTTAAACAAAAGAAAACAAAGCCATTTTCCCCTTTCTTGCATTCACTGCAAACGGCAATCTCTACCAACTTTGAAACATTTCCAGGAATAAGATCTTCCTTGAGTATAACAGAGAAGTTCTGCCAAAAAAAAAAAAAAGAGAAGAAACCCAAACCCAAACAAAACAATATAAAAGAAATGTACAAACAAAACAACCCCTACAAAATAAATAAGAATTATAAAGCTTTTTTTAAGTAACCTTAACAATTATCAAACTAGTAAGTTCTGCCTTATCACATAGACTCTCTATACAACATAACCCTAAAGATTTATTACTATGAGGTATTTGGAGGAATTGGTAAAAGCAATGCACGGCCTGTCTGGGCTGAGGGACTCAAGCTGCTTTCAAGGGGAAAGAAGGAGGAACCTTTGGTTTGTCAGCAAGAAAGTGGAAAAAAACATTTTCCTTTGGTATCAAAGAAAGTTTCATTGCATGGTTGCACGGCAAAAAGCACCACGGTGAAGAATTATTCCTTTTTTTTTTTCATTAGTGGCCTTTCTAACAGGCTGAGGTATTCAAAGAGTATAAGGTGAGAGATAAAGAGGTCAACAGCGGTTTAACACTTTGGTTCAAGCAAGGCACTCGTCCTATGAGTTTACAAAGTTTGCAACATGTTTGCCTAGAGCTTTATTATTATTATCCTTATAATCGTCAGTAGTAGCAGAGAAGTAAGAGAAGTATTCATAAGGTTATTATCATTATTATTAAGAATGAAGACAAGTTTACACACTGAGTGAAGGTTGAGGAAGGGGGACTGTGGGGATGGCAGGGGGTTAAGAAGGAGAATGAGTTCCCTTTACAGACCAAGGCCGTGCACGAAAAATCTTTGGTATTCTTTGGTATCATCAATGTGATTAAAATCACCAATGGAAATCGAGTGAGGTAGCGTCTTTGGTTCACACTATAAATAGTAGATCTTTACACACTTTTTTTTTCTTTTTTTCTTTTTTTTTTTTAACACGTGGAAGTAGCTATTCCTTACCTTTTGCTTCTTTATCTTTAGCAAATAGTTACCAAATGTATTGTAAAGCTAACCACACCACAATAATAAACCAGAAGGCTAAGCAAAGTCTCAAAATTAGCCTCTGGGCCTTTGAATGCACCCAAACGCAGCTAGATAGAAAAGGGTAAGTGCTTTCTCTTTGTTTGCTAAATGCATAGTTTTCATCCTCATGAAAAAAGGAGGAGGAGGGAGAGGAGGACGACAGAAGGAGGAGGAGTAGAAAGAAGGACCATTTTTCAGGGTAAAACAGCCTTGTTTGCAACTCAGGTGAGGAGAAGTGTCCTAAGAGTCTTTGGTATAAGAAGAGGAGCGGTGTTTCCTAGCCCTCCAAGGAGCAAGCCCACCGGGGCCCCAGGGCCGTGCCGAAGCGGGGCCGGCGCCCCAACCGCAGCCCGTTGAAACGCTAATGCACATCTGCTTCTGGCATCAAATGGAGCAGGACCAAAGCTGCAAGCAAAAAGCCCGCTGGTGGCTCCTTCTGGTTAGTTTTGCTTTACCTGAGTAAGGAGAGCAGGACGAGGCCCCTGGAAAGCCACGTGGGGGTCACAAGTAGCCGTACTGGTTGCTCTGATTTTTTTTTTTCCTGGAAAGCTAATAATGCGTTTACAGTGTGGGTGGATTTAGACGTTTCACCTCTTTGCCAGCCTCCCCTCCTGGGTCGTTACGGTCAGTTTTGGGCGGACCCAACGAGCGGAGCGCGCATGGCTAAAGCCCTCGTGCCTTTCAAGCCAACTTTGACTGAAGCCCACTCTCCTCATGTGCCCAAATCATTCCAGGTTTCGCTCCCTCTCCTAGCTGTTCTTGTCAGGTTTTAGGTCCTTTTTTTGGAATTCAAAACTAACTTCCTTTTTGTCCGGAATGAAGTCTTGACCTTATCAAAGCAAATGGAAAGAATATCATTAATGAGATGGAGACAGGATTTTCTGTATAATTTTAAGTGTAACTTTAGAAAAAAATTCACCTACATGGAGGATTTGCTAAGAAATGATAATGATAAAAAACAGGGTGCGCTAAATAATCTGTCCATGCTTCAGTCAATGCATTGGGCAGTCTGCTCAGCGGTAAAACAGCTTTACAATTCGAATGAACAGTTTCATAATTATTTGCTTCATATTTTGAAAGTAGTTAAAGAAAAGTGTGATCTTTGTCTATTCAGAGTATGAGGCGCATATTGCTTATGGGAAGAGTGGTTTTGTTCATAATGGCTTATAGAAAAACAAAAAGCTTGCACATACTTAAACAGACATGTAAAAAATCCACTTAAAGTCTATAACTTGTGCATCAGTTTTAGGGTGTGTGGATATATGTGTGTGCATGTACACATATATATACACACACACACACATACACACACATAAAAATATGTGTGTGTGTGTGTGTGTACACACACAGATATAATCAGGGGCGTGTGTGTGTGTGTATCAGAGATCCTGAAATTGCATATTGGGTGCAAATTTAATGCTGGTATGAAAGTTCTCTTTGGTTTCAGCAAGTAGTCTCTAAAGACAATACAGTGGAAATACTGAAAAACATGGTAATGTACTTTGAATTTCCCTGCATTTTTTAATTCTCAAGTTTTAAATAAATAAGGCTTTCTTTCTGAAGCTGTAAGTAAGTCACAAAGCAGTGTTTTGCTGGAAAAACTCCAACATTACTTATCACTGTCCTTTATTAAGCTTACACTAATGAGACTGCATTTATAAGATACTTTATATGTGAGCTTATTAATATTTCCATGCCAATTATACCTCAGTGGGAATGGAACACTTTAAAAGAAAGTTTGATAAAATTTAAGGTAAGCTAGAAACTCTGAAAATTCACAGATTATGTTTGCTTTGTCAATCTTAAGGTAGGTTTAACATAGAAAGTTGTGGAGAAATATTCAGGCCCCAAAATCCTCTTTTCATTTGACTTTATTTTGATTAAGAGCTATTTCAGTTGTATTTTAAACACTTCCTGGCAATTAACTGTATACCCCGAAACTTAACTAGACCCTGTTGCCTTGGGAAGTAAATGGTGCTACACAGTTGCTTAGCTTTGGTGTCTCTAGTATTTTGAGTGGACTTCACAAAAGACAGTATCTGCTATTGTTGATGTTGGTTGGATTCTAGTTTACCTTGAATTTTTCTTTTTCTTTTTTAATAGAGTATAAGTAAGATTACCTATTTCTCGTTCTTGCAATGGGACATATACCTGCATATTTGGTTACTTTGTAATTTAATATACTTAGAATCACTACCGTAGCTTGAAATACCAGTTAGAAATCTAACAGGCGCGTGTATGATTTTTGAAGTTTCTTTTCCCCTTATACTAAAATTTAATATGCAGATGTTACACACTTTTCTTTTTAATTTTATCAGAGTAAGAACGGAATGATTTATCGTCTAAAGTTCTGTTAGCAACAGAGCACTTAAAGCTTTTCAACTACAATTTTTAAACTATTTCATGCATTATCCTGATTAACAGATGAGCAAGAAAGAATGCACAAGAAGCAAAGCTCAGCCTGCTACGCACAGATAGGAAGCCACAAACAACAGGCTGTACCTTGGTGTCACGGGAATTTTGCTATTGACTTTAATGGAACCATAGTTTGGCTTTCTAAAAGCACTATTGGGGCTCCCGTTGGAGCTGCTCCCACTAACGTTAACTGATGCTGCACTATTGTTTTCAACGGGAAAAGACCATGAGTCTTCAAACCTATTCCTATTCTCTTGCCCATTAAAGTTGGTTGGTAAATAAAAGCTCGCTAATGTCTATGGGTCTTGATCAGGTGCTGGGCCTTGTGATTTTACATGTATCCATACTTTTAATTTTTGCATACAAAACGTCTTAAGTCTCGTATTTGCAGGCTAGGTGGCAGCGCTGAGCTATATTTACATAGGACGCATGGTTTAGAAAGGTGGTTGTTCAACGGGCTTCCAGCAGGATCAGCCTGGGATAGTGTAATAAAGGGATGCACACACGAGAGCTACCACACTGTCTCACACAAAACTGCAGCAGCTCCTTCCCCCCCCCCCCCCCCCCCCCACTTCTGCTGAAGTCAACAGCAAGAATGCTCCTGGCTTCAACAGAAGCAGCATCCCATTATCAGCATCTGTGCTCTGACACGGGGTACAACTCCTTAGATGACATTCTTTCTTGCCAATCATGAAAGCAAACAGTAATGTGGTTTTACTAATTGCAAAAAACAGTCTTGATTACTAGTTTTATGTGTTATACAGTTCGGTTAGTTTATACCTATAACTCTACATAGTATTTTGTGTAAAAATAGCTTTGGAATATTAAAATCATTGCAATAAAATACCTGCAATATAATTATTAAATGTGTTCTTTGGTAGCTAGTCGATTTTTTTATGGATGGAATAGTTTTCCTTTTTTAAATCTGAACATTCCTTAACAAACAAAGAGAATGCACTGGTTTAGGTGTCATTCAAATTTCTTTGCCTAGTTTGAACTTGTCTCCAGGCGTTGCACCAGTTAAGTTCAAACAATGAAACAGCAAAAATCACACTACCGTTCAAATGGATTCAGACGACTCCACGCTCTGCTGGCCATGCTACGGCACAACCCTCTCTGAAGACCAGCCCTGACTAAGTCCCTAACCACCGGCGTGCACACAGTACAGATACACTCTACACCTTCATGGCAATTGCTGTGGAAATGAAGAGCCATATCTGAAAAGATGTCCATTCAATGACAAGAAATCACTATGCTCCAAACCACTAAACAGCCAAGTACGGTGAAAATGATCATGGGTGAAGGTGTAAGACCAGTGGTTTATTCCTTTTCTCTTTGTGTTCCGTTTCATTCATTTCCTTTTCTTCTTTCTTCTTGTTTTTTTGCAAGTCGTCGTCCTACTAAAGTGTGTGTCTTAGAACAAAGTCATAATGCAGGTGAAATAAGTCTTTGGTTTCTTTGGACTTATAAATAACATTTTTTTCAAATAGTTCTAAGTATAAACCTGCTATCTTGAGGTCCTGGTCTGTCTTTATTTATTTATTTATTTTTAAAGCTTTTCCACCGAGGTTTAGTTCGTGGTTATTCCTTCATGCTTTGGTACAAGTGCTTGATGAAGAAGATGAGTTGCCTGAATTGGAGCTGCCCTCGTCTTGCCACTTATCCAGACTCCTCCTCCGTGCATTCATGAAAAAGTTGCTGACGGTGCTCAGCTCCAACCCTAGCTGCTGGGAAATGGTGATTTGTAATTCTTTGGATGGACGCTTATTTTCCTTGAATATTGCATGTAGAGTTCGACGCTGGACATCTGTGAAGACCAACCGAGGCTTTTTGGGGGTATTCCCTCTATCCTTCCCATGCTCTTGTTCTTTCCTCTTGCACGCTGCAAGAAAGGGGAGCAGTGGTTAGCGGTCTCGCAGAGGAGTCATCACGAATGCCGTAAATGACAAACTCAAAAAAAAAAAAAAGACCCATTCAGTTCAGCTTCCAGATCTGGAGAGGACGTGTGACATAGGATGAGACAGAGGCTCTTACATGCAGATTTCACAGGGCTACCTAGGCGTACTCACATGCAGGGTTATACGCTTTACTTTTTAGCCACTCGGCTCTGCTAAAATTAACATGAGCGTTTTTGCAACCTCTGCTAGCGGCACTTTTCAACCACCTTTCCCCCCATTTCTGAGGCTCTGTGAAGACACCGACTGACATCCCAGGGTCGTCCCTGGGGCACATTCAAACTCAGTACATGGGAGTGAATATGTGTGGGTGGGAGAGTGCAAATTATTAGCGGATGTGAATCCAAAAGACTAAAATTAAAGTCCTCTTAGGGGACCTCTATTGGCGACCCCACGCCGGGGGAGCTAACACCGAGGACGTGGCGAGCGCCATCCGGGACACTCGGCGCAGCCCGAGTGGCGCCGGCGGCAGCTGCTGTGGCGGGGACACGGCTGCCCCGTCTCTCCCAGCGAAATGGCTCACCACCACCGGAGGAGATGTAGCTCCCAAGCAATGCTCTTCTCTTCCCTCCAGCTATCTACAGCTCTTTGTTCTCAACCCATTTCTATATCTTTTTATTGGCAGAGAAACAAAGAACCGGGAGAGACCAGGCTTCTATTACAGTCTTACAGGCCCAAATGATTACGTATTTTGAACAAACTAAATCACATTTAGACATGTAAAACAATGAGAGAGTAAATCTTCCTCACAGAACTTCCCTTTAATTTCATCTATCTTCCCTTCCTTCCTTTTCACAACGTTATTTTACTATGCATTATTAAATGGCATTTGAAAATTTTAATTTGCCTTGCAGATCACCTGCTAGGCAGAACCTAAGGGGCTGGGAGAGCAACTCCCGAGTCTCCCTGCTAGCTTTTGACTGCCTGCCAACCCACAATGTCAGCATTTAGCTAGGATAAAAGGTTTCCTTGGGAGGACAGATTGGTCTGTCTTGCTTTCCAAAGAGCCTCAAGTTGTCTGTTTCCCCTTTTTTCCCTAACAATGTCCCTTAATGCCGATTTAGAGGGGTATTCTGAAGATAATACGGATGCTCTGTCTCTGTGCCTGTCCAGTCCTTACTTCTGCGGAGATCAGAGCTGATTATATTAAGAATTTTTTGCAGTATCCCCACCAATTCTACGGTTATTGGGCTGAAAACGGCAAATTACTTTACCAAGGTTCTTACTGCATCCTTTATTGCCACTCAGAGCCAGTGCTGGCATGAGGATTTAATTGCTTAAGGAAGATATAAAAGTAGTCATCCACCTTTTGTACTTACAGAAGTAGCAGTTGTACAGATCAGACAGCAAAATTCAAGTGATGGCAACTTCTACTGCCCCCAGGATTTGGCTACGCTGGTCCTGCCCTCGGTGAGCCCCCACAAGGCAGGAAGTACAAGCATGTTCCTTCTCTTAATGGACAAGCTTTTGAAGAACTTCCTAACGATATATATTCCAGCTACGAGTCTTTCATAAGCAATGACACATTGATCAAACGGATCAAGATGCCAAAATCATATCTTCTACAGTTATTTTTATCTGAAAACCTTTGAAGAGCTCTTTGAAGTCACATCCTGACGTCTAAGATACTGTATAACTTCTGGGCTGAAAAATAGTTTCTTCATACAAGCAAGACCTCACCGAAGTTAAGCTGGTGAATTCAGTGTATAAATCAGTTCCTACTGAAAATTGTGTGTGCTGATTGAAAGTAAACATTGATAACTCAAGGCTTAAAAATACCTTTGCAAGAACGGTCCATTATTTACCAACAAATACTAGAAAGTAGGAAACGAGGAGTGAAGAAGTTATTAAAAGAATATCAGTCATTTAAGCATCTGTGAACACGGGACAAGGAGGAGCTCCCCGCGGAAGCAGCTGCAGATCCTCAGCCCTCCCTCTGCACTAACCTCAGCCTCTGCCTTTCACTCTAGGTGTCCTTGCTAGCGTACTGTTGCAGGAAAGGAGACAAACCAGACTCGGATAATATTTGCCCTGCCTCACAATTAATTCCTTCTCACGGTGCTTCCCTTTTCAGTGACTACACAACCTCCAAGTTTTGCCTAGATATATCGTCCAGAGAAGAGCTCATCATTTTTCACAAAATCCGAATGACACAAGGAGCAAGAGGCAAGTCAGCACTGGATAATGCTTCAGCAGG